ATAATATGGAGAGAGAGAGAACACATTTGGGCCAGGGATTTAGCTCAGTGGTTTCGCCGCCTGATGTGCAAGCACAAGGACTCAAGTTCGATCCCTGGTACCAAAAAAAAGAAAAAAAAAAGAGTGAAAAAATTCAGCAAGCTAGAATAAAAGAATGAAAGTAATAAAATGGACACAAAAAATTCAGTTCACGTTTTTTTAAAAGAAACTGTTAACATAGTTTAGGAGACACAGAACTATTGCATTGCATTACTGGAAGCAAACAGTCCCACTAAATATGTCTTTAATTCAGTGTTTGTCAATCTGGGTGACATTCCTTGGGAAAATCAATTTAGCAGTTCAAGGTCAGCAATAAAAAAATTAAAAAAGAATCAAAGTATGACATGCATAGTAATTATTAGTATTATTGTTTTAAACTTTTATCTTTGTTTTGTTCTTGGTGCATGTGTTCTTGGTGGTAATACAAAATATATTTGTATTATTGATTCTGTTTAAAATATTTAGAAGCCACTTCTGTGGCCAACTCTTAAATACCCCTCTTCCATTGCTTATTAGTAGACACTACAAAGAAATCTGGAGATGTCTGCTTTGCCTCTGTACAGGGCCCTCTTCTCGTCATCCTCTGACTTTGTGTTATTCTCGTCACTCATTTTATGGTATGAAATGGTATGAAAGTGATGAAAATAACTGTTAGTGGAGAAGCTTACTGATAGTTACTGTGCTTTGTCACAAGTTTTTTTCTTTTTTGGTAGTGGGGATCAAACTCAGGACCTTGCACTTTCGAGGCAGGTGCCTGAACCACTGAGCTAAATCCCTGGCCCTCACAAGTTATTTTTAAGGGTAGCAGATATAACGTCTTTCATAGAAATAAACTTGGATGCTCAGAATGTAATTTCAAAGGTCAATTAATCTCAGAGGATAGTGGGACAATTACATCCCTTGTTCAGGAAACAAACTTGCACTAAAAAACTTGTTGTTGCTGGTATTTTTTGTTTGTTTGTTAGTTTAGTTTTGTTTTTTTTAAGCGCCTGCTGTTGTCATATTGTCTCCATTCTGATTGTATGCCATGCTTTCCCCCTGACCTGAGAAAAGCATTTAACATTTGTCCTTGTTTAATTTCATCTTGTTAGATTCGGCTCATTGCTCTGGCCTGTCAACATCATTTTTCATCATTATTCCATCTGCCTGCTCCACCCAGAGGCTGGTCATCTGCCAGCCAGAGCTGTGTGCCTGCTAGCCCTCCTCACCCAGCACAGGAACCAGAGTTCCATCCAGGTGATACAATGAAGGCGACAACTTTTGTCCTTTCGGGGAGGTCCTCCAGTCAGTTTAGAAGCCACCTACTCATCCTTGCTTTATTTAGCCCATTTTTCATATGGTCAGTAAAGATAGAGGTAGGCAACTGATTATGTATATCATTTTTACTAAGCTCCTAGGAGAGGCAGAGCCTAGACCAATGCATTTTTAGTGAGTCTAAGCCACTAAAAAATCTAATAAAATAATAATGCACATGGTGTATTATGAGGATTCTCCAGGGAAACAAAAACCAATAGGAGAGGTAGATTTATTGAGAAAGAGACTTATGGAAGCCATTGGCTGACAGGAATACAGAGGCAGAGAAACCTCCTGATCTGCCTTCCTGAAGCTGGCATCCCAGGAAAGCCAGTGGTATAGGTCAAAGGCCTAAGAACCAGGAGTCAATGAGAGAGAGAGCACAGGTTGAGCGCGACAATCAGAAGATCTAAGGGCAGGAGCAGAATAACGTTCCAGATCAAGCAGTCAGCAAATCCAGCTTTCCCTTGCCATTTTGTTCTATTCAGGTCCTTCATGGGTTAGATGAAGCCCACCCGTACTGGAGAGGCCATCTACTTTACTCCATCTAGTCACAGCTAATTTCTCCCAAAAGCTCACAGACACACTTCAAAATAATGTTTAACCAATGACCTGGCATCCTATGGCCCCATCCAGTTGACACATAATTCGCAAGCAGTAAAATGTTTTTTAAAAAATGACAGAGAAGGCCGGGGATTTCACTCAGTGGTGCCGCTGCCTACCTCGAAAGTGCAAGGTCCTGAGTTTGATCCCCAGTAACAAAAAAAGAAAATGACAGATTTATATACTACTTGCACTTTTAAAGAATTTGTCTATACACGGCTGCTATACTTCTTGTTTACTTCAAACTGCTATTTCAGTACACGTAACGTAGAAAAACAAATCATACTAGAGACTGCCATATATGAATTTTGCTTAAACTATTTTAAATAATTAGTATTTTTCTGCCTAAGTATAGACTCTTCAATAATATATGTGTGAATTGGGATTTGGGAGGAAAATGCAGGTAAGTGTTGATGGGAGAAATAATACTTATGTTAAATATTTCTGTTCCTTCACCTGGTGAGATAGGGAAATGTCTGTAGAGTTGTAGAAAGATGATGTTAGGTTGGCATCAGTAGCTAGACCTGCAGTAGACTGTTAAAGTCTTGTGGGCACTGTTGTCATAGAGATTTTGCTTACCTACTGGAGCATTTTTTGTGAATGAAGAGTTAGATGCTGACCAGGAAATTGGGAAGTCTGGGATTTCTCCTAACTTTCCAGAACAGCTATAGCAGTGGAGAGCAAATGATTAAATTTCTCTGAGGTGCAGCAAAACCATGAAATGGGCCAGCCTCACTCACTGGAAGTGTGTGCGGAGGACTCTTGGAGTTCAGCGTCTGCCAAGAGCTGACTTAGATCCTGGCAAGAAGAGCAGGCACAACATTTTGGGGCACTGCGTGCTGCCCAAGAGCTTGGCTTCAACTTCTCCTTAACAAGAGATGGATGAGTGAGGCCTATCAGTTTCAGATGCCAGAAAGAAAAGGCTGTGATAGCAGGCCTGTAGTTTGGGAGAGGTGTGGCTCAACTACCCATTGCGTGACAAAATATGGAGACAAATAACTTATAAGGAGGAAAGATTTATTGTGGCTCATGGTTTCAGAGGTTTCAGTCCATAGTCACTTAACTCCATCACTTGGGGCCTGTGGCAGAGCAGTACGTTATGGCAGACATGAGTGGTGGAGGTCTGTTCACCTCATGGCAGCCAGAAAGCAAAAGAAAGAATCAGGAAGGGGTTGGGGTCCTAATATTCCTTTAAGAGAACAAAGTCAATGTTGTAACTTCCGACCACTCAGCCCCACCTCCTAAAGGCTCCAGCACCTCCCAACAGCACCATGTGGGCTGGGGACCAAGCCTTTAGCACATGAGCATTTAGGGGCCACTTCAGATCCAAACTATAGCAGAGTCCTAAAGCAAAGGAAGGAAGTTGTTCTGCAGAAATGGTCTATGACAGTGAATCAGGGAATCACTTGGAGTTTGGTCAGTAAGTGTCCTGAAAAAATGTTTTATAAGAAAAAATTAAAATTCTTGAAAATGGACTTTTACATTTAAAGGTTATGGTATTCTCCATCATTGAGGGAGAATTGGCAGGAACCAAACAATTTGCTCTTCCTATTTCAGAGTAGTTAAGAACCTTGGATCATTTTTGTTTTCTTTTCTTTTAAGATGCTGGGGATTGAACACATGGTAAGCAAGTGCTGTACTACTGAGCTCCACCCCCAGCCCTGGATCATTTCTCTAGAGGAGAATAAAGCATATTTGCTGTGACTGCTTCTGTGCTGGGTAATAAGAGGGCAGTGTGAAGGGTAAGAAAATAAAGGAGGATATTTAGGTGCTCAACAATAATGCTGAATTTGTTAATTTTAAAAAGAGAAGGAAAAGAGAAAATATATGCTCATAATTTTAAAATGTTCTTTAATTTGAGAAAATTGGCCATGGATGGAAAAAGAAAAAATATTTCCAGTTGACATATTGAGAACTCCATGAGCCCAGGTCTACTCCAGTGGCTTTTACCTGCATGCATTGGAAGACTGGGTTCTGCATTCAGTTTGCCCAATTGTGGATTGGCAGGGTAGGGATATGGTGTCTGCAGTGAGAGAAATTTCTACCAAGGTTTCTTACCCAGAGTGGCCCTCCAAACCCCGGCCCCTGTTGGAGAATCAGGAAATGGAACTCTTGCCTGCATCTTCAGTTGGCTTTCTAGAATTGCTGCACACCTGTCTTCTCTGTCAGTTTTCTTGACTGTACAATGGTGATTGTACTAGTGACGGCAATTGTAATAGCATAGAGTCTGGGACCACAGATGCAGTGCTCCTCTGCAGGTGTCTCCAGCATAGCTCTTCCACTCATTAGCAATGTGACTTCAGTCCAGTTACTTTAATCCTTAATCTTTCTATGCTTTAGTTTCCTCATCTGTAAAATGGTGAAGGAATTAGAACATATTCTGTAGGGTCATTGTAAGGATTATGTGAAAGTGTTAGTTGTATTGGTCCAAGAAACACATGGAATTCTGGGCAGAGAGATGGATAGTCAGGGTAATTGGAGCTAAGCAATCAAGGTGATTCCTACCCTCCAGTGGTTTGGAGATAAGTGGGTAGAAAACAGCACACATCAAGCTGAAGCCACAGTGTGTGTGGGACCAAGCACCTACATGAGGATAAAGGGTACATAAAGTGTAGGATTCTAAAAAGCTGGCTGCTAAAAAGTATTCATAAATGTAGAAGGTCCCACCGTATACTAGTGGTTGAGACTAAATTTTGGCATCCAATCACAGGGTGTGACTGCTTTGGAATTTCAAAAGGGAAAAGGAAATTCTTTATCAACTCCAAGTTACCCTTTCTCTGTGCTGCTGTAACCATGTGTGATCACATCTCTCCTCATCACTTATCTCACTGTTTTATAATAATCTGCTGCTGCATTCATCTCCTTTACCAGCTATAGAGGGGTTGACACTGTATGCTATTCATCTGTATATTCCTGGGCCCGCGCACGGCCTGCACTTGGGGCCACTTGGTAAAGTTTGGCTGAAGAAGTGAATGAACGCTCAGAGTGCGTATGCAGCGTGTCTGAAATTGAACATCACCAACTTTCCTCTTTCAAATACTGTGCAGATTATATTATCTGCCCAGGCTCTTTAAACGCCCATCACATTTCTTTAACACCCCCGGGCCCCGGCGCTTCTATACAAGCAATCGCCAAATCTTACTGGTCCTCCCTTTTACTTCCATTTATTGTGTCACATTTCAGTCCCCATCATCCACTCTCAAGTGTGCTTTATTTGATGCCTGGATAATTACAACGCACACTCTGTTCCTTCCACCTTTGTGCCTTTATTCAAGCTCTCACTCTGCTCTGAATGTCCTTTTACCATTTCCATCGCTCCAAACTCCAACTGGGCTCTAAGAGCAAGTGTCTTCTCTTGTTTCTAGTTGAGATATTCTGGTGCCCACTCAGTCTCTGCTAGCTCAGCTTTCATTGGCTTTCATTTTTCTTCTGATAATTGTTCTTGTTTACTGCTGGTACATCTAGCACTTAGGAAATCCTTGTGAGAAATATAATAGTCTCCCCATTTTACAGGTGGGAAAACTGGGGCTTCTCAAACTAAACTTGTCCCAAGTAACATGATGAACTTGCTGTCTGCCTTCAGAGCTCTTTCCTCTCCACCTTGCCTCCTCACCCCAGTTAGAAAGTCACCTTCTGGAGAGATCCTGCTGATTCTTTCTTATGTCAGCAGACTGTCTTCCATGTTCCTTTGGAAATAGGAACCATGCAAATCTTAATCAGTTTTAAAGCCCCACTTGTCTGTATTATTCTTTAACGGGGAGAATAAAGGAGGGGATAATTGGGTAGAATGAAAACACTAAACCGCTCTTTTTTTTGCTGGCAAAAATGCACAACAGCATAGAGAATGAAGCAAAAGTCACTAGGGCCATTTTTAGGTAAATTAGAGCTTGAACAGAATTGTGAACATTTTTCTCTTTTCTGACACAGATTGTCCCAGCACTCCAGTCATCTGTTGGCATTTTATCTATTTTTATCTATCTAAACCTTAAAATGCTCATCATAATAATGAAACTAAAATGCCATATATATAAAAATACTGATCAATGTTGATGGGAATTCATCACTGAGGAATGAAAAGGAAAAAATGCCCTGACAGAAAAGGCTGATCCCAGTTATCACAGGGAATTCTGCCACCCAGAAATGGAACTGAAACAGTGAGCCTCTTTCTGAGGGCTAATAGATGTTTTTAAACTTTTTCAAGTCTGGCTCTTTGTTTTTTGGGGGGTTTTTTTGGTACCAGGGATCAAACTTGGGTCCTTGCACTTGCGTAGCAGGTGGCAAAACCACTAAGCTAAGTCCCTGGCCTCTGGCTCTTAAGCCAGGAGAGACATTCAAAGGTGTCGATGCAGGTGACAATTACGGGTCAGACTTTAGTCTCTGTCATCTCAAGATGTTTTGATAGTAGCTCATTCTTAGGCCTTGTGGCTAAATAAAACATTAAAAGTATGTCTAATTCTCTAGCTGGAAGAAATCTAAGAGATTATTTAATTCAAACCTTTTATTTTATACCTGAGGCAACCCAGAGAAATTAAGCAATCTGCCAAAGGACACAAAGAACCTGATTTATTACCATATAACTCACCACGAAACTTTCCCTGTGTATGATATCAATATCACTGCTTTAGTCAGGAGCATGGGATGTTAGTGTAATGGATTTAGCCTGTTAATATATCAACTCCAGCCAAATTGCTAGTGTGAAATGACCTTAAGCAGATTCACAGAAAAAAAACAATGTTTTCTCGCTTTCTGGGTGCACACAGCTGGGGGCCCCTCGCATGGGAACAGGGACTGGAATGCCGGGCCACTGTCCTCTGCTTCTTCCTCTGGCTTTGGTCTTTGCTTCTCTGCGTGCATTCTCTCAAATCCACACTCACTCTTTCCAGCCTAGGGAGCTGCAGGGCATCTCCTCAAGGACCACAGACCCTATCTGCTCCTGTCCCGGATGAAATGTGTATCCAGCTCTCCCTCTGGGTCAAACCCTGTGCTAAGTCCCAACTGCCTGTTACCTATCACTTCAGTGAATCCTCACAAGCACTTTGACATTATTCTCATTTTATAGATGAGGCTATAAGGCTACTCAGTGGGAAAGTTGCAGGGAGAAACCCTATCTGTGACGGCCTGAAAGCTGTGTGAACGTGGGCAACTTACAGGAACACTGTGACTCAGTTTTCTTACCCACAGAAGGGGACAACTCCAGTGTGGACCTCATAGTGATAGTGCTGTAAGTGTTGATGAGATGCTTTACTATCTAGTTGACTAGAACATTTCCTGGTTCTGTACAAGCACTGTGCACCTGTGCTGTTGTGATGAATTATTATCTTGTCCTTTCAGTCACATTGCCTCTTCTTACATATCTCCTACATGGGATCACATGGCTGTCCAGCTCGACCTCGCATTATGAGTCTTCTCGCCCACTTTCCCTGGAATAGCCCTGCACTGCCTATTTAGGTAACAGCCTACCATATGTGCATCTTGAGCGGCCGAGATGTGCTCTAAATGTAAAATACACACCGAGTATCAAAGACTACCCTGAGATACTTCCCTAGTCCTCACTAAATCACTAGTTTTCCCAGGCTGGGCTTGAATGTGTGATTCTCCTGCCTCAGACTCCCAGAGTACTAGGATTACAGGCTTGTGTCACTAGGCCTGGCTAGCTATGTGGTATATTTTTAGTGTCAAACACTTCTCTTAGGGATCAGTCCCAGTTCAGCAGGGATAACTTCTTGAACCCAGATTGCCTCAAAAAGCAGAGAATGCTGAGATGAGCTTAATTCAAACATCCTCCCCTTGACAGGGAGGCCATGGTGGAGGTATCTGGCTTCCGCTGAGGACGCCAAAGCCAGTGATGTGCGCAACTATTTCCAGCCCTTTCTAGTTCTTCCCACAGGCTTGAACGAAGATTTGACTGGAAACTGTGTGTGAATATGTGTATGTGGTTTAAAGCAAACTAATACAGCTCAGGCTGGATTTAGACGCTGAAGGCTGGTTCCTGTAGATGGTGAGGATTAGCAGTAACAGCTGCCATCCTCCCCATTTGAGGAAAGACTGAGGGAGAAACAGACTTTCGTTTAAAGGATGTGTTTTTGTAACTCAGAGGGAGGACACTGTTTCACCAAGCCTGCAGGAAAGAGTGTCCTTAGGTAAGTGGATGGTTTGGGGGTTCGGGTGGGCAAGGGGCTAGTGGGAAAGAGCCCCCTGCTGGGTCAGGGTGGGGACGAGGAGCTGTCCAGCCGCGCCCATGGCCCGTGAGACACGGCACTTGCTCCCTCCTCTGCAGGCACCTGAGTATGATCTGCCTTTGCCAAGGACACCACCTTCTGCCATCGACAAGGGCTCATGGGGCATTTCCTAGGGGTCCTTGTGAAGGAACACAGACAGTCCCTGCACCCCACCAAGAGCAAGCTTTACGGCTCACAGCTCACTCTCAATTCTGGGAAGCCACAGCGCCGGTCCCTTGTGTTGTAGACATTTTTGACTCATAGTGTCTCATGGAGAACAAACCTAGGAGAAAAAGGTGTTGTCTGGAGGACTCATTAGATAAGTCTAAGAGATCCGCGTGCCAGCATGTTCCCGGCTCCTTGGGCCTGGCCGGCATCCGGGGTGGTGAATGAGATGGTTATTAACGTGTATGGGTTACTTCCTTAGTCTGCTCTTTTTAATAGCCGGTTGTGCTCTACTTTTTATAGTTTATTTTCACCTTGTAAAACCATCTTGTTAAGAGGGAGGGATAACATTGCTTTGTGCTGCCCCTTAGATCAAAATATTAGCCAAATTTTTTAAATGGCTGGGTAAAAGAATATTAAAAAACTTAAAACATAAAACTATTAGAAGAAATATACCTGAGATATCCCTAAATATTTACTCAGAGTTTTTATATGTCTTATTTGCTCTCTCTCACTCTAGTTTTAGCTACCAATTTCTTTTACATTATCAACTTTTAATTCTTTCTGGGCATTAGAAATTGTACACAAAAGTGAAATTTATAAAATATTATAAAATTACAATTCTACTACAAAATATTATCAATGCTATTTTATTCAATCATTATATTCTATACCTGAGCCAATTTTCTTTTACCAATTTATTTACCAAGGTATAGAATGAATCAGGTTGAGTGTAACTTCTTTCTCATCTTCTAAAGTAGAGAAATAACTAAAAAGAGCAGGAGGAAAGACAAAAAACCTCAAGACACTGGAAACTTCATCACTTCTAAGTAACCAATAGTAGGCATAAGTGTTTGTAGCATTTAACTCTGTGATTTTCAGTTGTAGAGATAAGACACAACTAAACTAAGTCCCCAGATATCCCTGACAACTTTGGAATATTGGTGTCTTCTACCACAATAAAGTATTATAGCTCACACTGCCCTTGGCTATCAGACAGCTTATAAGTTCATTAAAGGAAACAAACATTTTCCAGTGTTATTTCTTAGATTTAATAATTAAAGCTTCTTTTTAAAAAGGAGTCTTGTCTTGAGAAAATAACGAGCAATTTTAAAAGAGTGGGCTTAGTTTTTTGTTTGTTTTGGTGCTGGGATGAACTCAGGTCCTTGTGCTTGCAAGGGAGGCACTTGAACCACTGAGCTAAATCCCCGGCCCTAGGGATGGGGTTGTTTGGAATGAAATGTTTCCTATAGGCTGCCATGCCTTTTTTATCTTGGCCTTCAAGAAGCAGCACTAGGAATATCAGGTGCAAAGGGAGTGTGGGATTCAGGTCAGTCACATCCAAATGACTTCATATTGTTTTTCTTAAACGGCACCTGTCCAAAGCCATTGTTTTTCAGGACACAGGAGAGAGAAGGATGAGGGTCCCAGCTGCCCTTGCGGGCTGGCTTGTACCACCCTCTGCCTGGCTTCCTGCTCGGTTGCCTTTTCCCGTGGTGGCAGTGCGGAGGCCTGTGAGGACATGCAGCCCAGACACACCAGAGCCCAGCCCCAGTGCTCCAGCACCCACCACATCTCCATCCATGCTGGCAGGTCTTCCTACTCCCCAGGAGACCGGATTCCAGGTATGTGTGGGAGAGGCTTCGGGAGACACACAGAGCCCCAGAGAGCCAGTGGAGTCTTCCAGGCTGGGAGCTTCCTGAAGCATGGCTTAGTCCTAAGAGGCACTCATTTGGCCAAAAATATGCATGAAGATTTTGTGTCATGAAAACAACAGCATAGTAATCTAAGATAACACAAGTGACTTGATTATAAAATATTATCTTCTTCTTTTTATAAGATATAAATATATCATGTCCCAGAGGTTACCCTAAACAACTTTCATGTATCATATGCATGAGGAAAATGTACTTTTTTCTCATTATAAGACTAACATTCATTCATCAACGAACACCTCAGGGAGATGAAGACTATGCTAATTTGCTTGACTGTAATAACTATTTCGTTATGTGTAGTAAGACATCATGCTATACACTGAAAATATGTACAACAGAAAGGTTTTTAAGTAAAACACAAAACTCAGTGATAGGCTGCATGCTTAGCATGCATGTGGCCCTGTCTTCCATCCTAGCACCACTAGATAGAGCTAGCTAGCTAGCTAGCTAGCTAGCTACACACAGCCTCTGGTAACTTCTAACCTTTCTGTGTCTATCAGTTTGCTTACTCTGGGAATCTCACATAAGTGGGATGATACGAGGTCTGTCATTCTGTACCTGGCTTATTTCACTTACTGTTTTCAGGGTTCCCTGGTGCTTTAGATGTAGCAAGGGTAATTGCATTTAAAGAAAGAAGGTTGACCCCAAAGAGTTGGTCTAGCGCTAGTGACCAAGGATGCTAGTTTCCCCATAGTCCCACTAATACTGGCTCCAACCACACATTTTAATATTTGCCAGTATGATAGATATACAGTAGTGGCTCCTTTATAATTGCTTTTAAATAATGGTGACCTTGTTTTATTTTCTGTTGGTGTCTTTCATCCTTTTGGGGATAATCATCTGTTTAGTGCCTCATCTTATCTCTGTATGTTTGTCTGTTCCATATGTTATAAATACTTTTCTGGGTTTATCACTTGTCTTGATTTTATCTAGATTCAAATACTTTAATATAGCAAACTTCATTTATCTTTTCCCATATGGCCACTACATCTGCTTAAAGACACATTTCTCATTCTAATATTTTTTAAAAGAAAAACAATTTTTTTCTGGTTTATTTGTATTTCATTTTTACACACTTGGAGCCAAAATGGAATTTATTTTGGTGTAAAACAGGACACCCCACCCCAACCCTGCCCCAGGAACTGTTTGCTTTCTGGGGAGAGAGTGAGCCTTTCCCTTTTGAAAAGACCTGCAGGAAGTCCCTTCCTGAGTGGCCCTGACTCCCAATCGCCCCCTTCGTTCCGTTGCAGTGACTGTGAGGAGCAGCTGCAATTTCATGGGCTTCCTGTTGCAGGCTCGGCGTGTACCTGAGCATCAGACAGCAGGCACTTTCGTCCTCATTCCTCCGCTCCAAGCTGATGACTTGCCTTGAAGAGGCCGACATCATCACCCACTCTGGCAAGTCCCTGAAGAGAAACCTGTGCTTCATGTGGAAGGTCCCTGCCCGGCCTGTGGGGGGCGTCAGGTTCCTGTAAGACCCAGAAGTGCTGTTGCTTAGTTAAGGGGCCCAGTCTCAGGGCACAGCTCGGCTCTTCTTTTCCTTTCCTCCGTATTTATCTCTGCCCCCTTCCCTACATAACCACCTTAGAAGGAGGGCAGGGCCCTGGGGACACACAGGGCCACAGCGGGCAGCACTAAAATGCCATCGTGACTCCACCTCCCCCTGCCATTGTCCCCTGGGTACAGAGTTGTCTCTCTGGACAATTCAGACTAGAGGACAAAGGAACTGCTGGCAGAAGAGCACGGAAGAGAAAAGGAGAGACGGGGGAGACGGGGGAGACGGAAAAATGGACATTTCATCAGATGCAGGAAAAGCCACTTCGGTCTTTGTGCCATGGCTTCTCCTCCACCAAATGGGCATGGTGGATCAGCTACTCAGGAGGCTGAAGCAGGAGGATCATTGGAGCCCAGGAGTTGAGGACCAATCTGGGCAATATAGTGAGACCCTTTCTCAACAATGAAAAACTAAAGTGGAGGGGATAATATGCGAGCACCGACCTCATAAGATTGCGGGAAGATGAAAGAGCAGTATAAAGCAGTGTAGTTAGGACAGTGCCTGACAGCCGCGAGCACGAAAAAGCATCAAGTGCTCAAAATGAGATGCTTGTTTTAGCATTCTTTTCAGATACTTGTGTTTACTGAGAACAAGAATTTTTTTTTCAGGGAAGGCTGTGTGCTCCTCAGCTTCTGTCCGCCACACCCTGCAGGCTGTGTCTTAGAGCTGAGGCCTCCAGACTAGGTGTTCCCCCCATGGTGCCCCTGCGTCTGGAGCCTCGTTAGAGAGACCGGGTTAATGACCACCCTGCGGTGTCCTTCTCCATCCCTTCCGGGAGGCCCCAGGAGGGCAGCAGGACAACACTAAGGGAAACCCTGGCCCCGCGGGCTAGCTGTGTGTGGCACAGAGAGTAGTTCAGAAGCTGTTGTCTTCAAGTTGCAGGAAAAGGAGCTAAGCGGCTTGGTCAGAAGCCTGCTCTAAGCTCCCTTGCTTTCTCCTCTCCCAGAACCCTTGCCTATGGTACCATGAACTGAGTCTGGAAGCCACATGTTCGAGGCCCAAACCATGCCTATCACTGGGTCCTTGCTTTTCTGGGTGACCTCAGCTACATTAGTCACACTGTGACGACAGCCTTCTGAATGCTAACAGTGGAAGAATGATACTTGTCGACAATGTTTGTGAAAGAAATCTGTATTAAAGAAAGGAATTATGCATTTAAGATATTGTTTAGAATGTTAGTGATTTATCTTTAATCTTCAAGAGCATCTGCTATTCCGATGCAGTCACACAACTGTACCCTGGAATTATGAAACCTTTAATTAATGATGTCATTGACAGCACATCAGTAATAACTAATAATAAAGTTGAAGATGAAACGTTTTCTTTAAGTCTAAACAGTTCCAGACACTTCTTAGTGAAAAAAAAAAGTGTTCTTTTCAGTGCTGGGGATTGAACATGAGCATGCTAGGCAAGCAGTCTCCCGCTGAGCTAGCCACATTCACAGCCCCAAACAAGAATTCTGATGTTCATATTTATCCAGGAAGGGTAATTTATTTGTCTAGAAACCTCTCCGAATTACTTTCACCTTTTGAGTTTTGTGGGGTTTTTTTAAAGAATGAAGTCACACAAAGGGAATAAAATAATCTCTAGTTCTTCTATTCATTTCGACTTTTGTTCTTTTACTTCTACCATGTTCTCTCTTTGCTATTAGGATGGCCTTGGGTATTACTTAGGGGAAACTGAATCCCTGAATCACTCTGCTCTCTCTTTTTCCGCAGATTATCAGTAGTCCAGTCGTATTTTGTTTACTGGACAAGGATTGAATCATCCATTGTGTCTCAAGAGACACATAGCAGAACCTACTCAGATGACCACAGCAACGTGGAGCCTGGGTGGTGGGTGGCAGCCCCTGGGCAGAGTGAAGGTACTGCCCCAGGTACAGCTTCCACCGTGTTCACTAGCCTGGTTGTCATTATTTTACGATGGTCTATTTTCACTTACAACTGAACTACAGCCGGTTTCTTGTCCTTGCAAAACAAGCAATAAACACCCGCCTTGTCCCATAGCTGCCTCACCTGGGGGCGGTGAGAAGCTGGCGGGGAGAGGCAGGCGCCCCTTGCAGTCACGTGGAGATTGTCACAGCAGAGTACTTTGTCTGGCTCAACCTAACCAATTAAGTAGGGCCCTGGAGTGGACAGAGAGCTGCCCTGCGGAACCAAACGGAGCATGCATCTCCTACCCGGCTTCTGCCGGTCAGCACAGTATTTCAGCTGTTTTCCTTTGACCCCTGAAGCGACGCAGGGCACGCAGAAAAGAAATGAGCTCTTTTCTTCTGCTGCTTTTTTGAAAAAGCAATTTTTATTGCTCCTTTCCACGATAGGCAGATGGTTCTCTGCAGCCTGGGATGGAGAACAGAATCAGAAATAAGAGACCGATTCAACGGAAATCAACTTTTTCCTGGGTTACCCCATGATTTTACACTCCACTGGCCCATGAACTTCTGCAAAAAGAAATAAAACCAACCAAACAAGAAAACCCCAAACTGCTAGGGAATCTTTGCCCTGCTGGAAAATTTCTGTCAGCAGAACCCATTGTCATTATTCATTTCCAGGGAACGGCTGGGGACAGATGGACTCCATCAGGGTCAGGCGTCAATCGCTTGCATAGCTCTGATCCGCGCCCACTCAGTCGCGTTTTCCTTGATTCCTCTTTCCATAATTCTTAGCTAATGTATTAAGGCCAGACTCCAGCAGGAACCCCTGCCTCCCCTCAGTCTAGGACACTCAGGGACCAAGACAACCTATGGCCACCCTCCTTCCCTGCCTTTGCCCCAGAACCTCTGTCTCTGCCTACTGCTCCAGCTTTTCCACCAGGATGCTCTAGAGAGTTGGCCTGGAGGAAATCCTCTACCCCAACTCTCATTTCAAGTCTCATGTTTTATTTTATAAATCAGGCAACTGTTGCATTGCAACCCAAAACATAACTGTGTTTGCTGTCATATGGATATGACTGAAAGTGAGGCTTCCAGAGGAAGTGTCACTTTGGTCCTTCAGCCTCTTGGATGCCTGACCCACTGGGTGCTGTGACCCCAAGGTTCCAGATGCCAGTCTCAGCACCCACAGCGTAAACCCCTCATGGTGCTGGCCTCCCCTTTTGTCCCTGGCCTGCCCCTTAATGTATATGAACTCTGGTGATTCTCAAACATATCTGCCAGTAGACCCCTGGGACACTCTGGGGTACTGCCCTACCCCATTAAGGTATGATTTACGTTTACGTCTCTGTGCCTCCTTTCTGAAATGTCTCCAAATTGGACTGTTCCTTGTGATGAGCTACGGAGCTTTCAATGCCCAGTCTAAATATCCCTGGGTGAATCTTTTTCTCATACTTCCTTGGTAAACAAGTGTCTTGGGCCATTCAGGCTGCTATAACAACAATACTTTAGACTGAGTGACTCGTAAGTAACAGGAAGTCGCTGCTCGGAGTTCTAGAGTCTGGGAAGTCCAAGATCAAGGTGCCAGCAGATCTGGTGTCTAGTGAAGGGCTGCCCCTTATGTATGTGCCTTATATGTGTCCTTGTGTGGCAGAAGGGGTAAACAAACTCCCCAGACCTCTTCTGTAATGGCATTAGTCCCTGAGGGCTCTGCCTTCATAACCTAGCCATGTCCTAAAGGACCTCCCTCTTAGTAGTATTGTACTGGGGATTAGGTCTTGCATATGAATTTGGGGCATACATTCAGAACATAGCATCAAAGTATTTGCCTTATTAGCTTTGGTAATAAAGTATCATCACACGATTTCAGTGATTGGACATGTAAGGATCTCTCCTCCCAGATGTTGAGTTCAGGCACAGCAATTGCAAATCTGTATCACTGCTACCACCATTACAATGTCCTGCGCTCAAGGGTCTGTGGAAACAGTCGAGTGCGCTTAGAGTTTAGGCACAAATTCAAACTGTCAGTTTGCTATGTGTCTGGGTTTGGCTGCTTTCTTTCTTCTCCTCAGTGTTTTGAATGATGAAAGCATTGGAATACAGGGACCCTGTACACTGACGGGAGAGACTTCTGCCAACATGGCCTTCTGTTACTGTATTCTGACTGTTATTGTGGTTGATGCTCAGCACATGCTGCATGTGCCCCACACTGTGATTCACGCTTCTGTATCAATGATTTCACATCACCCGGCAATGGTTCCATGTCTTGGCTACCATTACTAGCCCCATAGTGCAAATGAAGACACTAATGCTCCAAGAGGACTTTCCCGAGGCCAAGAATAGCAGAGAGGCGCATTGAACTTAGACAGTAATCTGATTCTAAAATTTGCACTTGCTCGCTGCCCTGTGTGCAGCTTTTTCTGATGCTCTGGGCCCTCACCTTAGACAGTCACAAGGAGGAAATCAAGTGGAGTGATTCTGTCTCTGCCTGTAGCAGAACCTTGGGTCATTATCACCACCAGGGAAACTTCTAGTGTTACATGTTAGTTAGACAACCTAGGTCTTTTAAAAATTTGTGAGATTTCACTTCTAGGTAGAAGTAGTTTTTGAAGAGATTAAATATGTACAGTTGTCCAGTGGTTTCTGTATTCCCTACATGTGGCTGTTAAGAACACACAAGCCCAGAAAGAACCAGGGACTTCCTCTGTTAATACGTGGAAGAAATAAGTGTTTTGCTGCTTTGTCAGGGCCTTATATTACTGGGCAAATCATCTTTTGAGTGACTCAGATTTAGTGATTGTCCTTAAGGCACATTGGAGTCTCTACTATTTATCCTGTATCGCCGTTGTTTGTACCAGGCAATCCAGAGAGAACTTTCTTACTGTCTCTTTGTGGTGTCTTTGGGCCTCTGTGTATCTCCTGGTGCCCCTTTCACTCTTCTGCAGCAGTGCACAGATTCTTTGCTGTTGCCTTTACAGAAGCTGCAAAGGAGAACAGCCTAGATCTTGCTTCTACCATTACTGTGGGGACAAAGTTGTCTGAGGGTGTCCAGACTCTGGCCCAGAATCCTTTGCACACAGCTACCACAGCCAGCAGCTGCCAGCAGCCCAGCAGGGACAGCAACCCAACCCTAGAACCATCACTGGATGTCCATAGGCTGGAGAGGCTTGTGGCCCTCAGGTGAGTCTCCTCGGAGGGCCTTGTTTCTAAACCAAGCACCCAGAAAAGGTAAGTAGTGATGGGGTGGCCATTTGGTCCAGGTGGTAGACCAAGGCTGTACACTGAGACACTTGATCTGAAGTCTGACAAAAAGGATCTTAACCATTTTATTAGTATATGCAGCACAGAATGTTTACTTTCCTTGTTATGGAGTTGGTACATGTACATAACGCATCTTTTTTTTTTTTTTTTTGGTACTGGGGATCGAACTCGGGTCCTTGTGCTTGCACAGCAGGCAGCAAAACCACTGAGCTAAATCCCCGGCCCATAACACATCTTAATTATTCTTTTCAACCCCTTTCCTTCGCTTCGCTCCCCCTCCTTCCATCTTTTGATCTCCTCTCCATTTGAGAAAAGTCTGTCTCCCTACTTTCTATTATCTTTTATTTTGCTCTTTATTTATAATTCAGGTTTCTCATATAAGAGAAACCAGGCAATAGTTAAGCTTGTGTATCTGATTTATTTCACTTAACATTATGGTCTCAAGTTGATCCATTTTCCTACAAATGATTCATATTTATGTCTTTATAGCAGAGTAGTACTCCATTATGTGTAAATATCACAGTTTCTTTAGCCATTTATCTGTTGATGGACATATAGCCTACTTCTAAGGTTTAGCTATTATGAATTGTCCTGCCATTTTTATCCCTAAGTGCCTGGAATACCCTAATCATAACAGGACTACTGGTCAGAAGAGCTGAGTATGATAATTACCCAGGAAACCTGTATTGTCTTAGATGGAGCGAAGTCTCTGAGATGCTACTATAAATAAAGCAAAGTACACTGACAATTTTTGAGATATAGTTATAGTACAACACAGAAATATATTTTATATAAAATAAAAAATGATAGTAGTGAGTTCTTCGCTGTCATCCTCTCACTTCTCCCCCAACTCTGCCCTCTGCCCCTGACCCCAAACTCAGAAGTTATTCCAAGGAAATCTGATTTCATCAGTATATGCAAAGTGGTAGGAAACATTGTTTTGTTTTGTTTTGGTATGGGGATCAAACTCGGCAGACGCCAGAACCACTGAGCTAAATAGCCAGCCCTAGGAAATATTTGTTTTAATCCATATATTTAGTGATACCTTCTTACCTCTTCTGTTCTTTCTTTAGAACTCAGGATGACCGAAACTTTAATTCATTGGAAACTTGTCCATGCTTGGATACAGCTGAACAGGTAAAAGCCTGATTTTTGAATAGGGGTAAATGTTGGAATTTTGGCTCTGGCTGGGAAGCTCCAGCCTGGGAAAAGAACTATTAGACTAGTAGTCAAAGTCAGAGGGAAAGCAAGGCCATGATATACACAAAGTATCTTTGCACTAATCAATACCAGCCTCCCCATGCTATGCAGTGTCTCTGAAGTTACCAGCAACGAAGAAATTGATGGTTTTAGCAATTTGTTTTTCTACTTAGTCTTGGTTAATAATTCCTCTTTTCTTCCCCCCTCCACTTCTCCTTCATAACACTGGCTTTGAAACACCATATACTACGGCCCCAGAGGTTAGATCAATGGACAATATAAAATATACATGTGCACTGATATACTCTTTTCTTCGAAGTCTTGGAACACAAAATAAAACACAGCATAATATTCTGGCTTAAATTTTTTGGAACCTACAGTAAGAGTAAATGATCTCTCCTGCATGGGTCCTACCATTAAAGACACTCAAAGCTTTAGTCATCAGAAAGGACATAACCCTCTATATGGGCCTGGAAGCCCCTTAAGGGCCATAACTATTCTTGTAACTTTTCTCCACACTGAGTGGGTTTTCCATTAGACACTCCATCTCCATCAACTACAAATGTGTGTTTATCTACACAGGCCTTTTACTCTGAGCTCGTTTAGGAGCAGGCAAGAGTCTGGATTTTCAGTTGTTGCCTGTGTTATCTTTAAAGAACATGAGTCAGGTGCAAAGTTTAGTGGCAAACTGGATGGAAGATCAGCCCCTTTGACTCCTTTATTTTTTCCTTTTCTAGGACAAGATGGTGGCCTCTAATAGGACCCTGATGAGGCCTTCTGTATATACCGTCCATCTTACCCATCCCCAGCACCTCTGGTCCTCAGAAGCATTCAGTGGGCATGGGGCTGGGGCAGCCAACCCAGCCCCTGACTTCCACACTTCTAGCGTTTCCAGGCTACCTGCTGCTGATGGCCATGCAGAAGAACCAAGGCCTTGTGCCAGCTTCCTACCCAAGTCAAAGTGCAAGGAAGCCAGAGAGGGGGAGGGGACTGGAGAGGCTGGCATGGGACACCCTAGCAAGACCAACCCAAGGCCGGAGGTTGGGCTAGAGGAAGACAGTGCCCCTTTGGGGATCCAGTTCAGAACTCCCAGGTTGGGACTTCTGCTTTGCCTGTCCGTGACTCTGGGCATGCCCCTGGCTGCTGGCCTTTGCTACCTGCACACTCAGTGTTGCCACAAATGGACAGGAGTGCCCTTTAGCGAGTCTGGTGCTGATGCTGTTGCCAGGAACAACACCAGGGAGAGTGTGCATGTCAGGACTGGGGAGAACAGTTTTGTCCTGGTTCAAGCGGAATACAACAGGATCACCCCTTCTGTGGGTAGCAAGAAAACAGTCCCCTGAGAAGACTTTCTTCCCAGGGCCCTCAGTGGCCTCCTTAGACCCCTTAGACCCTAGTGTCTCAGTCAAAAGGAGCTAATGAGAATTCCTGATGAGAACAGGGACTTTCCAGGCCTCTTGTCAGTGTGCAGTCAGTGGAGGAAGCCATGAAAGGACAGGTTATCAACAGAGGGAGTTCTTCCTGAGCTTTGTTGTCTTAACATCTGTAATTTGGCTTCTTTTTTGTCTCTTTGCAATTAGATGTTCTGTTTGAAGAGTTAAACTCAACGCAATGAATATTGTATAACCCACTCATTAGCCAGACTCCTGTGGCTGCTAAGCTTCCTCTGTTGCCTTAAGGAAACCACTGAAATAGAAACTCTGTCCCCCCTCAGGGTCTCAGCTTCATCTCTTCTAACTCTTTGAAAAAATAGAAATGCCAGGTTTGTGGTTCTTGTAAGAAGAAGAATGGAAGCCTTTATGGTCCCTCTCCAAACCACCCTAAAAGAAGTTTTCCTTTCAAAACTGGAGTTTGGAAACCAGTTGGAGCTCGGACTTGGTGAATGCAAGGGTATTCCAAGGGTATCCTTGGAAAGGCAGCAGCCTTGCAAATCTGCCATGGAAGTGGATCCAAAGCAGGGTCAGTTCTAGAGAGCTTGATGGAATGCATCTTTGGGAAAATACACAGGCAGCACAAGGCCATAAGCTCCAAAGTAGGACAAGCAACCTCTCCATCAGGTGTAAATGGATCTGGGGCCTCCCATCCATTTACACTTAGTGGAAAGACTTGTACTTCCCAACAGCTAGCAGGAATATTGCCTTTTGCCAAAGGTCAGACTTAAAAAATTATTTTACCAGCAAAGTTTGAAGAATCGCCTTCACTTGTCTTCTCAGGAGATGTCAGGAAGAAAGCATTATGGATGAAGACTATCTATCTGTTCTCACAACTTGACAAAGATCAGTGGTTCCACATTTTTCACAATGGTATCACAGCAACAGGCTGAATATGACTGTTAGGTGTGTTCATCTAAAATAACACATTGGAATTAGCTGACTTTCCAGAGGTAACCCTATTATAGCATCACCATGTCCTTTAAAATAGAAACAGAAACCACCACACATTTGGAAAGGATATTTATTTACCTTGCACCTAACTCATAGAAGTAGGATGTTAGAAACTTTGCATGAATTTTCACAGTTAGCCTTTGCAATAACATAATGAAGAATAAGCTCATTGACTTTTCAAGAAGAGAAAGGAATTTGTGGCAACTCTTGCAACAAAAGCATTTTTTAAAAAATTAGTTGTGTAGAAAAGAAATAACTTTTGGTGCTTTTCCAGCTTACTCTAACTCAAGGCTTTCCTTTTTCCCAGCTTACTCTAACTGTGCACATCTCTCCTCTTGGATCCTCGACCCTTGTGCTGGATAATCTTGATTGTCAATCTAGATGGATTAAGAGACTCCTGGAGAGGTGATTGGCTTGTGAGAGCACTGAGCTCATCAGTGGGTTTACCCATCAGTGAGTGCATAGCTGAATGGGCTCTTCAGAGGTGAAGCCTGGTTCAAGGGAGTGGATCATTAGGGGCATGACCTTGAGTACTATTTCTGGGCCCTGACCCCTTCCTTTCTGGCTCTTTCTAACCCTCTGATTCTCAAATGCCATGAGATGAGCAGCTTTCCTCTTCTGTGCCCCTTTTGCTATAGTGTCTCTACCTTGAAGTCTGCCAACCATGGACTAAGCCTCCGAAACCGTAAGCCACCATAAACCTCTCCTCCCTTAAATTGTGGATTTTGTCCTAGCAATGGAAAACTGACCAATACCATGAGGTAGCTGAGTTCCCCAGCTTCAGTGACCTAGGTAATTTGTGTGTCCACATATGAATGTGTTCTAGGAATGCTGGGGAAAGAAACAGATGTGCTACACTCCAGTGGGGACCATAGATATCCTTTGTACATGCTCAGCCCTCCAACAAGATGTCCTTCCTCCCCACAATACAAATGAGGAATACCAGCAATGACATGCTCTTGTTTGGCCCCATTGGCTCAGAGCCAGGTGCACCACCTGTCTATCACCTTTGAAGTCTTCCAATCCAAGAGGTAATTTTTCAATGTAAACAGACTATTTTGGTTATCTATGATATAGAACAAATTATTCTAAAACCTACAGATTTAAAACAACCACTGCTATTTCTTATTGTCTTTCCTGATCCTGCGGTGACCTGGGCTCAGATGGGCAGTTCTTCTGCTCCTTGTGTTGCCAATGAACTGGAACATCCAAGATGGCTCACTCACATGGCTGCCAGTTCATACTGGCTATGGCTGGGTCTATTAATGAATATGGGAAGCAGTTTGGTTCTTTTTGTGCCTTCTAATATCATGGTGGCTGATTTCAAGAGTGACTGGGGCCGGGGATTTAGCTCAGTGGTTCTGCCACCTGCCTCGAAAGCACAAGGACCTGAGTTTGATCCCCAGTACCCAAAAAAACAAAAAAACCTCGGAATGACTGTTCCTAGCACACATAACCAGAGGTGCAGATATCTCTTTTTGTGTGTCCATTCTTCTTTTTTTTGAAATATTTTCCCTTATGCTTCTTAGCTAGCTGGGCATTCCGCTACACCATTGTGATGTCATCTATGATGTGATGAGGGTGATGGCCATCAACATTGAAGCACACAGAGTAGGCAGTGCCTAGGAGCTCTTTAATGGTTCCAGAAAGTTCTCTGGCTAAAGATTAGTGCCACATCTACCAGGCAGTGTTGACGAGCTTGTCAAAAGTGACATTTTGAAAGTGCTTAATGTTTTCTTTCTGTCCCTTAGTGGCTCCCTGATGTCTTGGATGACTGGGGCAGAGTCAGAAGGCAGCACTTCAGTCTGGGCCTGTCCTGAATGGCCCACTTCACTGTAAACCTCAGACCTTTCCAGTCACCAGATGCCTTGGCAATGCCATCACCTACTTTTTTTTTTTTTGGTACCGCGGATCAAACTTGGGTCCTTGCACTTGCACAGCAGGTGGCATCACCTACTTTTTTAGAGTGGCTGATCTTGGGGGCCAGGGCAAACATGGTGCTAACTTGGCACAGGTGCCACTCAGGTACAAGACTTAATCTTGCTGGGGTTGAACTTGGGTGGCATGGTGAAGGTGGCCTGTGCTGGATGAATCTGGAAGGACTGAAGAAAGTTGCTCCTTGGCTTCCTCTGAGCTGAAAACTGCAGATCTCTTAAGACTCAGTGTTGCCAGAGACATGGTTTTATATCTGTTACTCTCTACCGTCACTGCTGGTCACAAGACCAACCTTCATTATTGAAAGAAAACGACGGTTGACTTCACCTTTTGATGGGAGACATGGCAAAGGATTTGCAGCTGTCTTTAAATCACTACAATCTCTGGTTAGACTGCTGACCAGCCACAGGGGCTTATGAGAGGGTAGAAGGAGGGGCCATTTAACCCTGGGGGGGCCCTGGGTCATCTTCCCTGCTGAACATCAAAGGGGAGGAGAGAAATCTTCAGATTCCAGGGAAAGGCATCTTCTCTTCTCCAGGTAGTCTTCTGCCTCAGGCAAACAGTGAGGCAATATAGAAGCTGTGTCTCAGCTTCCTCATCAGAGAAAAGTTGATGACAGAATCATTCTTCTGGCCATTGCATACAACAGGTAGCTATCTACCTGTAACTAACTAAGTAACTAACCAATCTGACACGCCATTGTTATTAATATCATCCTTCAGCTGTGAGACTGTCTTTACACCTAGCCCATTTAGAGAAAGTCTGTGACCATCAAAAAAATTCCCTTTCCATGACGTCTTAATTATTAAGCAAAATTATTATATTTAAAGTGATGTTTTCCTGCAGTGCCCACCCCAACCCACTCCCCTGAAAACTGGAGTGCTCATGCCATACAAGTTGTCATGGTAGTCACTGGCTACAATCCCTGCCATGAATCAGATATTTTTACTGCCACATTCTGACTGAACTTTTTTGGCAAGGCCAGTTGGAGGCTATAGGCCTGTGGTCCAGGAACGTGAAACCCCTCAGTGACTTGATCTTGAAGGTCATCTCAGCCTGGCCTCAGGGATGCCTCAGAGGACAGTGAGTAGGAAGCATTGACTTGATCTGGAGGCTGTCGCTAAAGCACAAAGTCATGAAATTAAAAGGCAAAGGACTCAAAATGTGACATCTGAGAATAGCTTTCTTGTTTTGTAAGAACAGCTATGGAATTGTTCAGTGTTGCAGCCTCTTGGAGGAAAGGAGGTTGGGAGCCAAACACACATTTAAAGGAAAATAATGGAAAAACAATTACTGGAAACTCTATATTTTAAACAAATGTTTTTATATCTATTGTGCTAATTTAATAACCACAGGTCAGGGATAAGAGTGGGCCTTAACATTTTTACATTCAAAGACTACTTCTGATATTTCCAGTTAATTTTCCCTCACAGATACAATTTTAGTAAATCACTGTAATGCCGAGCTGTAGCTTGGCTGAGCTACCTCACTGGTGACACGGTCTGTCATTAATTTGTTGTTACAATGCTTGTTTTCTTTTTTTAAAAAAACTCTAATTAATAGCAATAACAACAAAAATAGGTTGCCAAGCCAGTAAATATTTAAACAAGTGTCACATTTACTTGAAAAGTTGTCTGTAAAGGGCTGACAATTTATGAAGAAATCACAGATGATGATCAGTCAGACCCTTTTCCTGTTTTGAACTTCCAGTATTAATCATCAATCCAAGTCTTCCTGGAATGCAGAATGCTTTGATTTTATGTCACCCTAGCCTATCCCTCTTTTTCTAGTGGTGCAACAGCGAGGAATTTCTTTTTCCAAGTTAAATGAATTTGCATAAACTTGTTTTTATCAAAATTGAAAACGTTTCCATTCCTCTTGAGATACCACCGTGAAGCAGTTTGCTCCATCTGGCTCTAGGGAGTTGCAAAATCAGCCATAACAAACTCTGATTTAGAGCATCAGGGGAGATCTTTATGACAAAGGGAAGGCCAGTGTTTGGGGTTTTGTTCATTTTGTTCTTTACATGCAAAAAGAAAACGTGAGCATTTAAGGTTCCTGTTCCACTGACAAGGATGGTTGGAGCAGCCAGGACCACTGCAGCTTCCAGGTGTCTTTGAAATTTTTTTTTTTAAAGACAGATTTAGATTATGCTACACTGTTTCTGGATTGTCTAACGGCTTTCCACCTCCCTGAGAAGGCAGTGTGACCCTGGAGATCCGGGAACCCGCAGCCCGCTCAGCCGCCTTGCTCTGCCATCCCGGAGCCTGGAGCTTGGCCCTTCACACGCTCTGTCCCGTCACTGCTTTATTGATACGTTCAATGCTCACCTCCACCAAGTCAGGCATTTCTTGGTGCGTTTGGCCTCTGACCCCTCCACTCCACCAGCA